CCCACCTCAACCCCCACCCTCACCTCCAACTACCAGCCTCATCCCTGCCTCCTTGACCTCTCCGTCTCCTCTCCACCCATTTCCTTTATCAATCTTCCATCTGCCTCCCCCTCTCTATTTGTTTCAGAATGCCCTTCCCCTCCCCCACTTCTGAAGAAGGGTCCAGACCCGAAACATCAGCTTTCCTGCTCCTCTGATGCTGCTTGGCCTGCTGTGTTCATCCAGCTCTACACCTTTTTATCTCAGATTCTTCAGCATCGGCAGTTCCTCCTACCCCTTCTAGTTTTGGATTCTCCCACCCTATGTTGTCTCTTTACCCTATCCACATCCCTCATGATTTTATAAACCTCTGTAAGGTTACCCCTCAGCCTCTGATGCACAATGGAAAATAGCCCCAGTCTATTCAGCCTCTCCCCATAGCTCAAACCCTCCAAGTCTTGATTGATTGATTGACTACATGTCAATCAGCAATGATTCAATGTAAAAATACAGTATAAAGTGTATAGCTTCTCGGTCCATACATGGTGCCATTCACACTAACTTCGAATAAGAAAAAAGATAACTTAAGATAACTTGGAACATCCTTGTCAATCTCTTCTGAACCCTTTCAAGTTTCAAAACTTCCTTCCTATAGCAGGGAGACCAGAATTGGATGCAGTATTCAGATAGTGGCCTGACCAATGCCCTGCACAGCCGCAACATGGCCTCTTAACTCCTATACTCAATGCACTGACCAATAAAGGCGAGTGTACCAAATACCTTCTACACTGTCCTGTCGACCTGCGACTCCACTTTCAAGGAACTGTGAAGCTACACTCCAAGGTCTCTTTGGTCAACAACACTCTCCAGGACCTGACCATTAAGCCTATAGGTTCTGTCCTGGTAAGCCTTCCCAAAAAGCAGCACCTCACATTTATCTAAATTAAACTCCATTTGCCACTCCTCAGACCATTGGCCCATCTAATCAAGATTCCATTGTACCCTGAGGTAACCTTCTTCACTCTCTCCGACATCTCCAATTTTGGTGGCACCTGCAAACTTACTAACCATAGCTCCTATGTTCACATCCACATCATCTATATAAATGATGAAAATCAGTGGACCCAGCACTGATCCTTGTGGCACGGCTGTGGTCACAGGCCTCCAGTCTGAAAAGCAACCCTCACCCACCACTCTCTGTCTTCTACCTTCGAGCTAGTTCTGTATCTAAATAGCTAGTTCTTCCCTTGTTCCATGTGATCTAACCTTGCTAACCAGCCTGACATGGGGAACCTTATTCGAAGTTACCTTACTGAAGCCCACATAGATCACATCCACCACTCTGCCCTCATCAATCCTCTTTGTTACTTCTTCAAAAAAACACAATCAAGTTAGTGAGACACGATTTCACACTCACAAAGCCATGTTGACTCTCTGTAATCTGTCCTTGCTTTCCTGAATACATGTCAATCCTGTCCCTCAGGATTTCCTCCAACAACTTACCCACCACCGATGTCAGGCTCACTGGTTTATAGTTTAATGGCTTTTCATTATCACCTTAAATAGTGGCACCACACTAGCCAACCTGCAGTCTTCTGGCATCTCACTTATGACTAAGGATGATACAAATATGTCAACAAGGGGCCGGCAATCACTTCCCTCGCTTTCCCACAGAGCTCGAGGGTACACCTGATCAGGTCCTAGGGATTTAACCACCTGTATGCATTTGAAGACGTCCAGCACCAACTCCTCTGTAAGAGACAGTTTTCAAGATGTCGCTATTTATTTCCTCACATTCTCTATCTTCCACATCCTTCTCCACAGTAAACACTGATGCAAAATACTTGTTTAGTTTCTTCTGCATCTCCTGCAGTACCACACATAGGTGGCCTTGTTGATCTTATTGGTGCCCTATTCTGTCCCTCGTTACCCTTTTGTCCTTAATGTATTTGTTGAATCCCTTTGGATTCTCCTTAACCCTATTTGCCATAGCTATCTCATATCCCCTTTTCGCCTCCTGATTTCCCTCTTAAGTATATTCCTACTGCCTTTATATTCTTCCAGGGATTCACTTGATCTCTGCTGTCCACACCTGAAATATGCTACCTTCTTATTCTTAACCAAAACCTCAATTTCTTTCATCATCCAGCATTCTTGACACCTACCAGCCTTGGCTTTCACCCTAACAGGATCTCTGTACTCTCGTTATTTCATTTTTGAAGGCGTCCCATTTTCCTATTGTCCCTTTACCTGTGAACATCTGCCCCCAATCAACTTTTGGAAGTTCTTGCCTAATACCATCAAAACTGGCCTGCCTGCAATTTAAGACTTCAACTTTTAGATCCGGTCTGTCCTTTATCACTATTTTAAAACTAATAGAATTGTGGTCACAGGCCCCAAATTGCTCCCCCGCTGACATCTCAGTCACCTGCTCTGCCTTATTTTCCAAGAGTAGGTCGAGTTTTGCTCCTTCTTGAGTAAGTATATCCAAATACTGCATGAGAAAATTTTCTTGTGCACACTTAACAAAGTCCTCTCCATCCAAGCCCTTAACGTTAAGGTAGTAATCTATATTTGGAAAGTTAAAATCCCCTACCATAACCATCCTGCTTTTCTTCCAGATAACTGAGATCTCCTTCCAAGTTTGTTTTTCAATTTCCTGCTGACTGTTTGGGATCCATGGTACAATCCCAATAAGGTGATCATCGCTTTCTCATTTCTCAGTCCCACCCAAATTACTTTCCTGGATGTATTCCCAGACATATCTTCCCTTAGTGCAGCCGTAATGTTACCCTTAATCAAAATTGCCACCCCCTCTCCTGTCTTGCCCTCCCGCCCCCACACGTTCTATCCTTCCTCGAGCACCTATTCCCTGGAACATTAAGCTGCCAGTCCTGTTTATCCCTGAGTCATGTCTCTGTAATTGCTCTGATATCCCAGTCCCATGCTCCCAACCATGCCCTGACTCCATCTGCCTTACCTGTTAGGCATCTTGCTTTGAAATAAATGCCGTTTAATTTGTCAATCCTACCTCATTCTCTACTTTGTTCCTGCCTGATTGGACTGTTTGACTCACTCCTTTTCCCAAATGTATCAATCTCAGACTGATCTCTTTCCTCACTATCTCCCTGGGTCCCACGCCGCTTACTAGTTTAAATCCTCCGAAGCAGCTCTAGCAAATCTCCCCACTAGTATAATAGTCCCCTTCCTTAAACCTTTCGTTATTCCAGCATTTGACACTTGGGACAATACATCAGCAAATATAATAAGTTTTCCAGCAATGCGCATGATCTTTACATGAAATTGTTGCAACAAAAGACTCTATTGCATTCTTCATTTGAAACTTTTCAATGAAGGCCAGTGGATTATGAGTGTAACTTAGGCGTTTCATTGTTCTTTGTTGGATGTAGACTTCAATGTAGACTTTCTCTGGGAGAGTACTTTTCCAATGACTGGCATTGTTTCTGAGAGAAGTACACCCGCCCCAGGTTTCTCTATTCCTGATTCATCATCCTGTAACAAGGCAGCACACAGCCCCAAGTCACCAGCATCAACTGCCATTTTGAAAAGTCTGGAAATATCAGGGATGGCCAACACTGGTTCATTGATTCAAATTGTCTTTGTCCTTTGGTTCTACTAACCAGGCCACTTTTACTTGTTTCGTTCACAAATTTGTTAAAGGCACAGCTCTCCAGTTAAAATTATGTACAAATTTCCAGTAAACTGACATATTCCTAAAAATCTATCAAGTTTTCATTAATTTTAGGAAAAAGGAATTATATTAGTCTTCACATTTCCTGTCCACGGCAATATCTGTGTGTCTGTATTTGTATGCCTGTGTGTGTCTTTATATGTATGTATGTGTGTGTTTGTACATGTATGTGTTTGTACATGTATGTGTTTGTGAGTGTCTCCATAAATGTGTG